ATTGATACAGCCACTATGGAGAACAGTATGGAGGTTCCTTAAAAAACTAAAAGTAGAGCTACCATATGACCCTGCAATCCCACTACTGGGCATATACCCTGAGAAAACCATAATTCAAAAAGAGTCACGTACCACAATGTTCACTGCAGCTCTATTTACAATAGCCAGGACATGGAAGCAACCTAATTGTCCATTGACAGATGAATGGATAAAAAAGATGTGGCACATATATACAATGGAATATTACTAAACCATAAAAAGAAATGAAATTGAGTTATTTGTAGTGAGGTGGATGGACCTAGAGTCTGTCTTACAGAGTGAAGTAAGTCAGAAAGAGAAAAACAAATACCGTATGCTAACATATATACATGGAATCTAAAAAAAAAAGGTTCTGATGAACCTAGGGGCAGGACAGGAATAAAGACGCAGACGTAGAGAATGGACTTGAGACACGTGGAGGGGGAAGGGGAAGCTGCAACCAAGTGAGAGAGTGTCATGGACATATATACACTACCAAATGTAAAACAGACAGCTAGTGGGAAGCAGCCACATAGCATAGGGAAATCAGTTCGGTGCTTTGTGACCACCTAGAGGGGTGGGATAGGGAGGGTGAGAAGGAGGCGCAAGAGGGAGGGGATATGGGGATATATGTATACATATAGCAGATTCACCCTGTTATACAGCAGAAACTAACACAACATTGTAAAGCAATTATAGTCCAGTAAATATCTTAAAAAAAACAAAAACAGATATCTAAAAGGGAAATATATATAAAACAATCACGACCATTAGCCAAGTAGCTACAAATAAAACATTTTTGAAAATACAAGTTCATCACATCTTTCCAATAATATTCTGTGCCTAATGAAATGGTTTTAATTAGTGACATCAGACCATTCCACTTCAAGTAATAGGTAACTGCCTCATCAAAGGACTTTCCAGGAAATGGAGACAACACCTGGGCTTTTTTGTCATTATCTGAAAAACTGGTGAGTAAATTGATAAACTATCACACACAAGGGCCTCTCATCACAAACAAAAAAACCTACTATGCATTAAATAATTTAACACTTGGATTTATTTTCCTATACACTTAAATGACTGGCATTTCTATGAGGAACATGTTAAAAATAATGTATTTTTACGTAGTTTAAGGTAGTTTAAAGGTTTGGCCTCATCACTCAGAAAACAAGTTTTTAAATCTAGTACAAACCTATAAAAGATTGAACTTTGGTACATAAAAGAAAAATACCTCTACTAAGAGGCAGCAAAATTCAGAGACGATAAAACATTTAAATCAAAAGGTTCTACTTAATCACAACAATTTCAAATGAGTCCTTACTCTATATGCCAGGCTCTGTTCTAAGAGCTTTCCTTATATTATCTCATTTAACCCCTCCCAACCTTTCCACTTTACAGATGAGTAAATTAAGCAGAGAGAACTTGTCCAAGTTCTGGCAGAATAGGGATTCAAATCCAGAGGCCCTGACTGTATTACAGCACATTTTTTTCCTATCAACTATTTCCATTTCTATTTTCACTAACAGTATTAATTAAACATCTAGGATAACGCAAATAAAGATAAAATAAAAGTCAAAACTACTCAGAGACTTCTGGAATGAGTTAGGTATTCAGCCATTAAATATCCCTCCTTTTCAAAACTGAGAACACTCTTTTGCCATCAGAATCCAAGCAGGACATAGTTATTTGGGACAAAGTATCATACAGAAGCTACCAAAACAACAAAAAAAACCCTACACTATCATATAAACCAAGATTAGGCAAACCACGGTCTGTGGGCCAAATTCAGCCCTCAGCCTGTTTTCATATAGGTGGCAAGCTAAGAATGATTTTTACATTTTTTAAAGGGTTATAAAAACAAAACAAAGAACCTGCAGCAACAAAACCTAAAATATTTACTATATGGTCCTTTACAGAAAACGTTTGCAGACTCCTGATTTAAGCTACTGAATAAAGGGGTTTCCTCCCCTTTTTTAAAAATAGCTAAATGCAGAAACTGACTTGTAAGACAAACTGTATCTAGGAAGATAAAATGAGTGGATTCCCTTAGCTCCAAACCAGAAGACAAAACCTCTGAAGCACACCCCCCAAAAAAGGGCAAAAATAAGTAGTTCCCTTCTCACCAGGAGGTGGCAGTAGATTCTTCCAGAGGCAAGGTTCTGGTTTGCCCATGGGCTCAAGTTTTTTGTGGTGGCTATTAAGAAAAGCAGCTTGACCTCTCCAGAGCTGACTTTCTGGGCCTGACAATCTGCACAAAAAGGAAAGGGGAAAGGAGACTGAACAGGTGACAAGAACTAAGCACATTCTCTTTACTGACCTGTTCACTCCCACTAGAAAAATGATACCATTTCCTAAATGCATCTGGGCTAAGAGTTAGGGGGTAGGAAAGAAGGCAAGTGAAGATGATCAACTTAATCATTTGGTGCTGTTCTTCATTTTTGCTTCTACAATTCTTAAGTTACTACCCTTCAGTTAGTTGAATAAGACAATGGACTCTTGTCTCCACAACTTGAAGCAAGATGCCATTTTAAAGATCAGAAGTTAATAGGAAAAAAATGTGAACTTTAGATATACCTCAGCAGAGCTAAACCAGAATAAGTCAAAACAGGAAATTACAAGTCAGTTGAACACATGCGAAAGTCACAGGTACTGCATGACTGCACAAGCCGGTTGGCCTGACAAGCAATGGCAAACATCCATTAACTAACAGTGCCAGATCGCTCATTCTTCTTTCAAGCCTCTACTACATAACCCAAAAACTTCATTTTTGCCCAGAAACCACTGGACATTTAACCAAAATACATTAGTACAAAACATGCCATGTCATGGAGCTCCTTGCTATTCATGATAACTCGGCGGTTGCTGCAAAACAGAGGGGTGACCGCCTAGGATAGTTGACAGCAACCAGGTAGTCTACAAGTTCACAAAAGTTCCAGTAAGGATTAAAGAAAGTCCTTATTTTAAGATTAAAAAAAAAAAATCCTTAAAGTATTCTTTTGTATATTCCTGGATACTTTTCTTTGGTAGTATCTGCCAATATTAATACCTTCAGTGTTGATTAAGAAACCCCCAAACACCTTTGATCCAATTCAAAAGCTACAAATGTACTTTCTTTTTAAATTAAATGGGTGGGGCAAAAAGCTGAAAGTACTTTAGATAGGGGGAAATGAAACTATCATGCTTTAAAACAAAACCACACAGTCTGAAATCATACCAGCTCTAAGACAAATTGGATCATAGGTGTTACGTTGTTAAGGCATCATCTCCCCCAAATTAGATTTTTATCTAAGTACATTTTAAAAATAAGGTGTGATTTTTGGCTTTTGCCACTCAGAATATATGAGCTCCTTTCTAAACTCTGCCCAGACCATCCAATGATCTGTATTTACAAATTTCTTTTATTTTATGTAGTAACTTTCTTTTGAGGAGATCTAGAAAGCACTCAAAGACATTTATCTTCAGGAAAAACAGAAAGCATGTGTGTTTAACTTCACTCAACCGAAGGATTAGGTTAAATGGCCAGGCGTGTGACCTGAATTCTAATCTTAAATCTGCCTGCAAGTACCCCTGCTCCTCACAAAGGAATCTGAAAACCAAGCTCTTTTTGGTACATATCTGGGGGAAAACCGGTGGGAGGTAAAAGTAAGGCCAAGACCTGTAACCGTAAGTAGAGAGCTACCTAGTATTATAAACCACAATTTTTACTATTAAGAAATTTCTCTGAAATCTTTTAAAATTCTGTTTTTAATGATACAATTTAACACCAGCACCAAACACGTTAAAGTGTTCAATATTCATCATCATCCAGAACAAGCAATCTAGGAAGTCGACCCTTAACAGTAAGCTACATGTTATCAGACCCTTTTGCTATACCTTTGTGTTTTTTATAAGTTTAAGACCCACACTTACTCCTACCTTAGTATCCCTGAAAAGTGTTATAAGTGACGTTTATTAGAATATTCTTAACGTATTCCTACTCAATCCCCATAACAAGTAAAATTTTAAAAACAGAGTTGTCTCAGAATCAAATGTCTCAGTTACAATTAGGATAAACCCCTTTTCATAATTTCAAACACCCACGAGTGCACAGAGTGCTTAGATTATAAGACCACCAACATCCCTGGAATGTCAAAAGTACCTAAACTTCTAGAATACGCCCCGTAACATTAAAATAGTTTGTGCGTGAGATCAGAACTGGAGTCCCGGTCAGCTGTGCAGAATGGCCAATTCCAGCTTCCAAAATAAAAGGCGGGGGGGGGGGGGGGGGGGGGGGGGGGAAATTGGACAAAAGTGGGGAGGAAAGAGTCTCGCGACGGAAAAGAGACGTAAGTGTGGAGAGGGACTTTCAAAATGCCCCAGTGCCACTAACTATAAGCCGGTTAAGAAACAAACAAACAAAACAAAATCGAAGCCAGTCCTCTCAGATCGGGGAGGGACACCGGGAGATGGAGAATTAATTAATCGCGTTGTAAGTTATTTCACTTTCCGCGCTAACAGCGCCCCCGACAACCCCCGGGTGCCCCGGAGGCAGATTCCTCCGGGCAGCCCCCTCCCCACACACGCTAAGACGCGGGAGGCTAGCAAACAGCAGGCGTAGGGGCCTCCAGCCACATCTTTTTCCTTCTCCCTCGAGAGAACGTGAGTAATACCCCCAAACCCCCAATCCCCGCCAAAAAACGGAAAAATTCTAGGCCCAGCGTGGCCTAGGACTTCTGTTCCCGCCCTGCGCTGGTCGGGGGAAAGCCCCAGGCGGAGAGGGCTGGGGAGAGGCGGCCGAACCACACGTGTGCGCCGCAGGATTGGCCCGTCTCGGCCCACTTCCCGTCGCCGCCCCAGCGGCCAGAGCTCCCGCCGCCTCGCTCGGGCCTCCGCTCAGGCCCTCCCGTCCGCTCCACGTGGGGCGCCGGGGCCCCTCGCCGCCCGTCCACTCCCGCCCAGTTCCCGACCCGCTAGGCCCCCACGGCGCCGGGGTCCCGTACCTGGTGCTGTTGTCGCCCCTGCTGGTAAGGTTTAATTGGCCCCTGGTGGCAACGCCGAGTCCGGATCTTGCCGCCACCGCCCCCTCCTATGCCTCCAGCTCCCGAGGCCATGGCGTGAGCCTCCGCGGCTTCCCCCTCCGGGGCGGGAGAGGCAGAGACGGCCTTAGAGCCCCCCCCGCCCGGCCCCAGCCCAAAAGTACGCACGCGCTGCCCACACAGCGGGGCACAGGCACACCAGGAATCGCGGGGCTGCGAGCAGGAGCGGAGAGAGAACGCGCGCTGGCGGCAGGGAAGGGGGTGGCGGCGACAGAGGCCGAGTAGCTGGCTCCGGTCCGGCAGCCTCCCGCGGACCCCAGCCTCTGTGTATGTCACCGTCTCTGTGTAGATTCCCCCGCAGAGGACAGTGCGGGCGGCTCCGGGCGCTGCTTAGGCCTAACTCAACCGCCGGCTGCTGGAGATTCTTCTTCCGTCGCCCTAGCCGTAGCTGCCGCAGTTGAAGCCGCCGGCGCCGCCCGCCTACCCCTCCCCTTTGCGCACAGCGCCCGCCCAGCCGTCGTCGTCTTCCCTGCAGTCGCCGTTGTTGCGTCTATTGCCGCTGCTAAGGCCGCCGCTGCAGTCGTGAGCCAGAAGGTCGTCACTTGTTAGCGCCCGACGAGTTTGCATAATCACGCTGCGACCGGGTGATAGGCAAGGAGGAAGGAAGGGCGGGTCGAGCCCGCGCTCTCGGCTGCGCGGGCCTCTGGGAAACGTAGTTCCGCAGAAGAAGACGAATTCTCAGGACGCGGAAGATGGGCGGTTCGCCGCAGAGGCACAAAGCCAGGGGTTCCGTTCGCTTTATTGCTCTTCACTGCAAACGTAGACTTCGAAAGAGGCGTTTAGCACAAAAAGAGTAACCTCCTTCCCAGTCTCCTTCTCCCCGTGGTTGGTAAAGCGGGCAGAAAGTGAGCAGATCGTAAAATCACAGACAGAAGCTAACAATACCTTATAAAAAGAAAAAAACTGGTTGAAAAGACAATGTCCATGATCTTTAAGCCTAAAGCAGAAATAGAAAATACATAGTTTCGTTAATGTTCCATTAACATATAAGGGCTTTGTTGTCAAAACACACAAGTGCTGGAATTCTCACTCCACCACTCTCTAGTTTGACCTTGGATAAGTCAAAACCTTCCTCCCCCCTATAAAACGGGAACTTTAAAATCCGCCTCATAGAGCTGTTGTGATCATCCAAATGGAGCACTTATTATATTTCCTGGTATACAGGAAATGCAATAAATGATTACCTACAGCAGTCAGCTCACATTAGAGGTGAGTGGTATATTACCAGTAATAAAAATATACATATATTTGCCCCAAATAGAAGGCATTATATTTAGGAAAGTGAATAAGCGAGCTAGGCTCAGAGACTGCATCCACAAAGTAGAGAGATTGTAAGAGCTGACTGTTAGAAAGATCTTGGTGATCACGTGGTCCGGCCCTCATTCAACGGACAAGACAGGGGTCCAGAGAATTCAGGTGGCATACTGGAGGACACTAAGCTGCACAGTAAAAGCCAGGACTATAACCCAGCTTTTCTATAAGAGTTCAAACAAGTAACCAAATGATTAGGGAGAAAATCTACTGTGAAGAAACATAGGCTTAATGTTCCATTTGAGACAATTGGTTTTAAAGCTTATAAATAACTTCGGAGTCAAACAGACTTAATTTAAAATCTATCACTTACTAGCTGTGTAGCCTTGGGGAAGTTACTGATCCTCTTTCTAAGCTTCAGTTTCCCCATCTGCAAATAGAATGAATATTAACCTCAACAGGCTGGTGGTTCTGATGAAAGGATTTATGTATCTCTGTATAGTTCATAATAAATGCTTAGATACAAAGCATCTAATATCATCCAGTTATCAGATACAAATAACTAACTTCAAGACTTTTATACCATCTCTACCACCAAACTTCACTCCAATATTCCAATCACTATATAAATCACATAAGTCAAAAGGTGAAGCCAGGGCTTCCGGGGTGGCGCAGTGGTTGAGAGTCCGCCTGCCGATGCAGGGGACACGGGTTCGTGCCACGGTCCGGGAAGATCCCACAT